CTCAGGGTGGGACACAGGCTGTTTAGTGTCTCGTAAAACATTTACCCAAAGCACTGAGCCATGGTTCTGAAGGGCATTCCGTTGCCAGAGCGTGGGAGGAGAGCGAGCCGGGAAGAGAGAACCAGGTGTCTGGGAGGTACTTGTTTCGCGCTTCAGTATTCTTTAATATTTAAAATTACAGATTACATACAATTTGGGCTCTTTTCTGCTGTCGGAGCAGGGGCGGTGGGAGGGAAAGAAACAGAAGGAATTCCTTTCAAATTCTCTTTATCGGTGGCTGTATGACTCTGGGTGCCGGGAGAATTGTCATGAGCAGGCAAATGTTGTTTTTGGTTTTATAAGAGGGACAGAAGTGTCCCGGGGATGGGATGGAATTTCCCTGAGCTTCAGGGTTTACCACGGACCAAATCGGACATTAGCTCCTCTAGCAAGGAGCTTGGCGCCAGGTGACTGGTATCTAGGTGGCAAGGTTACCTTGTGCTTTGCAGGGTGACTCATTCCATCGGGAGGTTTTGCTGAATGGTGGCTCTGGTTTCATGAAAAAACTTTCAAACTTTCTGCCTCTGAAGACTGCCTCTGTCTGTGTTTTAGAACAGGGCAGCTCGAGAGGGACTAGTCCTGCTTCTGGAGAAACCAAGGAATAAGTAGTTCTTGGGAGTCCATAGTCTTTGTACTCTAACTCTTATTGGGCATAGAAAATGTGAACGTGTGTGATAAAACTAGAACCATAATCAACTGTTTACATGTGATCATTGTAATAGCAAGATTGTGAGCACTGATACCTGTAACTCAAATGGTAAAACTCAAATGGCCAGTGGTAAAACTGTGAGTAGGAAAATCTAGAAAAATAATAGCTCTGAATGGTTTCTGTAGTCACCAGTTGTGGGGGGTTATTATAGTTTAATATATGACATGTAACAACCATATGGAATCTTTGGCCTGTTGACTGTAGCAGGCAAGAGTAAGACAATGGTACTAAAATTTAAAAGACATTTAAATTTAAATTAAATTGAGAAAAACACGATTTGTGTTCATTTTTGCCCAGTGCAGTTACTAAGCCAAGGGTCTTCTGGTAAATTTCCAGTTGTTTTAAAATGCCTGGGAGAAATGATTATTTGAAAACTAGAGGAAACTTTTCTCTCGGGGAAACACTTCCCTGTTGGCTTTTGTGTGTTTAAGCAAACAGGACCCAGTCTCACAACCTGGAGGTTGTGAGCACGGACGCTGGGCTCCCCAGGAAGATGGCAGATTTGGTATCTACTTTATGCATAGCAGAAGTCTGGGTTTAGCAGCAAGTCATTTCATTTCCTTGACCACAGAAAGTTTATGTAACTTTTTTTTTGCAAGTGGATTAAACTTTTCTTACCTCTCTTGTAAGATCTTGAAACGGGTATGAAAACCGGTCCGTTACATAGGTGCACTTAGATTCTTAAGTGACTGTGAAGCTTTTGACCTTCTGTGATACCACATAAATCCAAAAGAAAAACCCTGTCCCACAGAGGAGTTTATGCGTTCATTCTGTGCTCTGTAAAGTAGACTGATACTCAGGCTGAAATTTCACTAGAGGCGCAGACTAACTCTGGGAAAAAGTCTAAACACCAACCATTGTTAGGTAGTGTCACTCCTCATTTTGCCTTTGGTTCATCTGTGCAATCCTTTGGTTTTTCTGGATTTCATGTTCCCGGGATCGCTGGACTCCTAAGAAAGCAGGGTCACCAAAGGTTACATTTAGTATATGTGCTGCCCAAGCGAGCATTCCAAAGGTTACATTTCTACCTCTTGTCAGGGGTTCTTAGAGTTTCACTGCAGTTTGTTGATGGATCAAGTCGTGCATCAAATTAATCCCTGAATAACTTGGCCCACATCGCTGGCATTTCCAACTTTCTCCTGTGAAATCTGACATGATAACAATACTGTTATGTTAGGTTGGTTTTGTAAGGCACAGAATTGAGTGATGTCTCTATAAGGATTGTTATGTGTCCAACTGTCTTTTAGAATGCTAGTTCCTTTTTTTTTTTTTTTTTTTTT